CTTGATCAAAAGCAAGATTGAAACAGTTCCTAATTCAGGAGATGAGCTACATGTGAGTTACCTTTTGGCTTCCAGTCCCTCTGTTTTGTTCTAGCTTGAATTAATTTAGTATTATTATTAATGCAATTGAATGAATGACAGTTGAAGAAAAGGGACATTGTTTCAAGGGTTTTGGAATCGGGAGAGGCTGATCCAAAGTACTTGAGAGACATGATCTACAGTATCATTATTGCCTGAAAAGACACAACGGCCAGCGCTCTTACATGGTTGATTTATATGCTCTGCAAGCATCCTCATATACAAGAAAAGATTGCAAAGGAAGTTAGAGAAGCAACAAATCTGAAAGACAATTCAAGCATTGATGAGCTTGCAGCCAGCCTTACTGAAGAAGCGCTTGACAAAATGCAATATCTGGTTGCAGCCTTAACTGAGACAACCAGGCTATACCCTGCAGTTCCAATGGTAATTTAACATCTGAAATATAATGCCTGAATCTCTGGCTTAATTTGCTGAATTTGTATCCTTTGTTTATTACTTATTGATTGACAAATTTAGTTTGTTTGATGCTGTCCTAGAACGCGAAGATTTGTTTTTCTGATGATACTTGGCCAGATGGATTTAGTGTCAAAAAAGGGGATATGGTGGGATACAACGCTTATAGCATGGGGAGGATGAAACATCTATGGGGTGATGATGATGAAGAATTTCGGCCTGAGAGATGGCTCAACGAAAATGGCCATTTCCAGCAAGAAAGCTCTTTCAAATTCAAGGCCTTCGGTGTAAGGAAAAATGTTGAGATATCATAATTACACATGTCACATTTTATGTTTCTTGTAATTATTGGAAATTTGATTTTTGATTTACACAGCGCGGGTCCAAGGATTTGTCTAGGGAAGGACTTTGCTTATAAAGTGACAACGATCTTTTCTGCTGTGCTCTTAGGCAGCTGCATATTCAAGCTGAGGGATGAGAATGAAGTGGCCAAGTATAAGATCAAGATCACCCACCATATTGATGGG